TATCTGCCCCCATCCACGGGTCCCTTTTCACCTAGGTCTAGGCTGGACCTGGTCACTGAGACCCAGAGTAGGCTGTGTGCACACGCATACACACATACGTGTGGGTGGTAGCTGGCCACCAAGCTGCTTCCTTCAGGCCAGGGGAGGCTGGCCTGGCCCCCATATCACATAACCCCAACCCTCCCCATCCTAGCCTGAGGGCATTCAGTTCCCCCACTGAGAGGGGCTGGTTAGCCTCAACTCAGCAAGGAGTGATAGAGGGTTCCCCTCAGAAGGCTGCCTCAGCTGGACGGTAACCCTGGACCCTGGATTCAGGCCCAACCCCCAGTTTGTTTCAGGAGAACGCTGACTTACGGAGGACAGCACAGAGAGAGCCCAAGCACACCCCACCATTGCCACCACCAGAAAGCCCCTTGGCCCGTGGTGCTTGGGCTGAGCACAGAAAATTCAGGGCACTGGGGAGAATTTCTGAAGAAGCCAGATGCCACCGGTGGGACGGCGAATTAGAGGGATGCCTGGCTCTTCTCTGAGGACTACCCTAGTACCTTCTGAGGGCATTCGGGGTCCCTGTCCCTCCTGAGCCCCGTGCCCCTCAGCCCCAGACCTGTGTGCTGCCTCCGGGTGGCTGCGGCTCTGCTGCCCCGCCTGCTTCTCAGGCCGCCTCTCCCAGGCACATTCCTTGGCACAAGTGGAGGGGCTGGGCCAGCAAGGAGGGTGGAACCGCCCGGGGAGGAGAGAGAACAGGACACTCCCCTAGTCCCCAGGCCATAACTTTCCAGCCTAGCCCCGCCCATCTTCCTGCCGCTGCTTTGCCCACTGTCTGCATGTGTTTGTGCTGCACGCACTGTGGGCCTCACACCACCAGCTGGAACCCCAAGCCTCTGCTCCTGTGATTGAACAGTTTGGGGCCCTCTGCTCTTGAGCTGGGTGCTGGGGACCCTGCTGGGCACAAGGCAGACCTGGCCCCTAGTCCGTGCGCCCTGACTGAGCTTTAAGATAGATGACCCCTCCTGGGAGCGGGATGGGGATGTTCTGACCTAACCTGAGTGCCGCCCAGCTGCCTGGGGAAGGGGTGAGACAGGACGATGCTGGGGTCTAGCTCCCCTCAGGGTCCCTTCCCTCAGCACTAGGGTCTAAGGGTCTCTGGAGTAGAGTTTGTGCTGTAGCCACGGAAATAGGGGAGGAGGCTGGAGCAGGCGCATTGCCTCTTGTTTCTCAGCACGGGCATCCGGGCCCCAGGTGAGCTTCCTTACCCAGGGCTTGATGGGCGCTCCTAAGGCGGTGGGTGAGCGGCCCTGGCTCCACGGGCAGAGTCCCAGGCTCTTGCCAGCCGGGCCAACGGGAGGGAGAGGAGAGTGGCAGACAGGCGGGCCAGGCCTGGGCGGGGAGTGGGAGACAAAGGAGAGCCGGGGAACAATCCCAGCCTTGTCCACCCTTCAGGGAGCAGCGCAGGGTGGCCCAGCCCCATTAGCAGGCAGCTCACTCAGCCTCCAGCACACAGCCAGCCCCTCCAGCTTGACCCCATCCCACAGAGAGCAGACTGGCCGGAAGAGGCGGGGGCCCTAGCCAGGATGCAGCCAGGGTGATACGGAGCGCCCCCCTCAGACTGGGCTGCACCTTGGCGCCAGGGTTCCAGTTTCTCCCAGCTGAGGGTGGCTCTGCCCTAGGCTGGGCAGAGGACTGCAAACCCTGACTTTGTATTTCCGAAACCACTCCTCACTGTGCTTCACTGCCTCTTACCATCTGGTAATAGGTAAGATCCAGAGCAAATGCATTTGGTTGTGTTGGTTCAACCATGAGGGGACTCACCAAGCTTTTCCACTCTCCACACACTTGAGTTGTCTGTCCTTGCAGAGGGACAGGAGTTGAAGACTCAAGAGGCTGGTTTCAAGGCCCACTCTCACCTCTCCTTTGAGGAAGTTTCTCCCCAACTTAGAGGACCCAGCTGAGACAGCAAACCTCCCCCAAGCAGCACTGTTGCCTTCAAAATACACTTGACCCTTGCACATGGGTTTGAACTGCACTTACATGCAGATTTCTTTCATTAAATATTTACTCAGTACTATGTGGTCAACTAGTATTGTGCATGAGGGCCAACTGTAAACTCAGGTACACATGTTTGACTGCATGGGGGTCAGCACTCAAACCCTGTTATGCAGGGTCAAACTATGTATTGTTTTCACCTGTCACCCTTGTGGAGCCACCAGCTCAGTTCACAGAGTCAATAAACTTGACAGTGTCTATCAAAACCATCTCTGGAGTTTGTGCTTCAGTTACTGGTTTCTTGCTTCAATGGGTCCACCTCAAAGAAACCTTTCCGAAACGCCATCTCGGCATGTAATCTCCGACATCCCAATAAAACTGCACAGAAAGGCATCAGGAGACAAGGAGTAGGCTCTGGGGGTCTTTATTAAGTGATGCTTTAGTCTCAGTCTCTGCCAGGGACTGGAAGTGGGAGCAACCCCACTCCCCCAAGGTTGTCCCAGATTTGCTGTCTTAAGAGGAAGGAGGCAGGAAGCCTGCTCTCCTCTGAGAACAGCCTGGGAAGCTAGGCTAGAGCTGGGGCAGGGGACAGCAGAGCTGAGATCCCCCACCCTCAACTCCCAGCCCGAGCTATACGTGCAGCCTGAAGCGGAGGGACCGAGGCAATTCTGGCCAAACCCCCCAAACGCAGCCCTGCTCTCGCTGCTCCACTCACTGCCCTGAGCTATTCATGATCTCTGCTCCCACATTCACCTCGACACTCCAAAAGCTAGCCCCATGCTCAGCTCCTCCAGGCCTCTAGTCCTGGGGAAGAACAAGAGTAGGGAAGCCCATCAGGGTAGAGGGCCCCTGGCAGGGCAGCTTCAAGGCGCCTCTCCTTTCTGCTGCTCACCCGAACACAGTCTCCTCCCTAGTAGTAAGGGGGGTGGTGGCCTCAAACTGTGCCCCCCTCTCCTCTTACTGGCATCCCACCCTGTCCTAGCAAAGCAGCCCAGAGCACAAAGCACAGTGACTGTGCTGGTGGGCACAGGAACCGTCACTGGCATAAGAGCCAGACTGCCTGCAGCTGTCGTGGTCCTGCTGCCTGCCCTGGAAGCTAGATGGAGGGAGACAGAAAACAGAAGTGGGGCAACAGGTGTGTGGCCCCTGCAGCAGCAGGAGGGGATCTAAGCCCTGCCCTGCTCTCGGTGCAGGCAGCTCCAGGCCCCTCTTCAAGAGTCCCCAAGGCTCCAGAGCCGCCCAGCCCCTGCAAAGGGAGGTAGAGGGGGATGGGTGGTCCTCGAGGAGAGGAAGGGTCTGCGGAGAACCACCCAGACACCTGTGTTACCCAGCTCTTCCCCCAGGGCCGGAGGGCCCAAACTCCTGGCACCGACCACCCTGCTTCTTGGGTGAGGAAGAAGGGCCCCTTCTGCTGTCCCTTCCCCTCAGAGGTCCAGGAACCACTCCAATGAAACGCAGACACCTACGCCTGCCCCCTGCCCCTGGGGAAAGCAGGGGGGCTGAGGCAGGAAGGCTAGCCAGGGGCCCACAGGCCTCTCCTGCTCCAAGCACTTTCCTTGCTTTCCTGACGTCGTCTTGGCAACAGGGGGCCCTGCCCTCCCAGCCGGCTCCTGGGCCCTCCCTGCAGCCCATGCGCAGCTGGGCTTCCTTCCTGTGTGCGTGCGTGAGGCTGTGTGGTGGGGTGACTACAGGTGGTGGTCCTGGCTGCCAGGGAGGGCAGGAGAGATCTGGAGTCAGCCCCGCTGCAGGGCCTGGGGGTCGGTCTCAACCAATCTCCTTCCACTGCTTGTAGAAGTCCAGAACATTCTTGATGTCCACACTGGCATGTGCAGCGGCCTGCAAGGCTGCCTGTGAATTGAGGAGAGGACAGATGGAGGCAGGCCTGCCCTCCTGAACTACGGGACAAGTCACTGAGGGGCTGGGGAAGGGGTGATGGAAGAGGAAAAGGGTAGCTGTCTGGTCTCAGGGAGTCGACTCTGGTACCTATTCCCCATTCCACACTCTGCCTCCACCTCACCCCGTGACCCACCTGCATAGGGCCTGAGAGCGTGCTGGGGCTGTCCAGTGGAAGGCCTGTGACAATGGTCACCATGCCGCTCGGGTCCTCCTCACCTGCCCCCTGGGCCAGGGTCAGCTGTTTGCAGCTGTCCAAGATCTTATAGAGCGTCCTGGTGGGGAGGAGAGGGAAGGCGGGCCAAACCCCAGCATTAGCACAGACTGAACACCAGATCTCCAGGGCACAGGGGAAGCGGGGGGCGAGGAGGGCCCTGGGAGAGAGCAAGAGAGACCAGGTAGCCAGGAGCAGTGGGTCCTGGGAGCTGGCCCTGGAGGATGTGCTACAGGGACTGGGCAAAAGTGCAAATGAGTGAAGACGCCAAGCCCAAGTGTCCAGGGCCACAGGGGCTCTGGTACTGGAGCAATTTCTCCCTCTATCCAAGGGGAGACCAGCAGGAGGGCCCTGGCAGGCTGCCTAGTACAGAACCGTCCACTCCTGTCCCGCTCTCCCGGGGAGTCCCCACAGAGGAGTGAGGCAGGCAGCCCAGCGGAGGCTCGAGGGGCAGGGGCTGACATTCTACCAGGCATCTGCATCCTGCCTCTTCAGCTTATGCCGCTCAAAGCTCTTTCCCACCTCCTTCTGGCAGCGAATGTACCTGCAAAGGAGACGAGAGAGTGGAGGTGGGGGTCAGAGGAGAGGGAGGGCACCTCACACAAAGCAGGCCATTGTGGCGCAGGGGACCCAGTTTTATGGGAGGTGGAGGGGGGCGCATCTTCCCCAACACAGGTCTGTTTGGAGCGATTTTGAAGTGGCTTCCTGGCTGCTGAGCCCGGCTCGCTTTTCCTCCTGATAACATCAACTTTTTGGTTCCTCCCGGGGGAGGAGCTGGGAGGAGAGAAGCAGCAGATGCTTTTCAAGTCAGTGCTTCTGGAGACACGGTCCAAACAAGCAGGCTTTGTGCAGCTTCCTGGCCAGGCAAGGGCAGATGCAGAGAGGGGTGGGCCGGCCAGCAGGGAGAGGGGAAGCTTTCTCTCTCTTCCCTGCACAGACTGCTTAGTCCTCTTCTTTTTTTTTTTTTGGCACCCTAGATGGGACACGAATGCCTAGTCCTTTTCTGGCCCCAAAGGCTATAGACTGCTAGGCTGAGCACCTACACACTGCCATCCGTTCCCCCCACATGGCTTCATGGGAGGTAGGAAGCCCCTGGATAGCCCCGATGAAGGCGCTCCCACCCTGGTCAACCTGATTACCTAAAGGAGGAGAAACTCCTGCAAAAGAGCCCACAGCCTGGAGTCAGGGGTTTGCTCCCCTCTCCCCAGTGACAATGATCTCATGTTTGCCCCAGAAGTAAATGGATGGCAGGTTGGTGCTCCCTGACAAGGCTCCTGGCTCTTCCAATCACCATCTACTTATGCACCTAAGACCTTGATTTCTAATTGTCTAGACAGTGAGCCAACTGCAAGCTGGGACCACGAGCATGTGTCTTACACAAGGAACACATATGCGTTTGCTGCCTGGGCTGAGCACAGGTCCAGCCAGCCTGCACTCACCTGTTCCCTTTTTTAAACTCTGCCTCCAGATATCGAATCCCATCCCGAGCCCCTGGGTGTTCCTTCTTCAGCAAGTCCAGGCCATCAATCACTGGTGGGCAAGGTGGGGGTAGGGGAAGGACAAAACAGATGAGCTCGGGCTGCTGTGACATGGGGCCCTGCAGAAACATCTGCACCTGCTCCAGGACACGCTGCAGGAAAAGAAGGGCCCATGGCTCCTACAGGAATCCTGAAGTTCTTGCAAAGACTGACCTTCTGCCAGCAATGTATCTGGCACCTTACCAACTACTGTCACTTAGATTTTCTCATCTATTTCTCCCAACCATCTTGAGTCAGGGTTTAACAGAGATTGTCATGCCCACTTTACAGATGAAATGACTGAGGTTCAGAGAGATGGTAGGACTTGACCAAGGCCACTGTGTATAAACTGGGCCGTAAGTAAAGGTCTCAATCTCAAGCCAGAGTCTCTTTTAAACACACTCTCTGCCCACACCCCACCCCTCTAATGTGCTTACCTGTCCTTGGGATGATGACAATGAAGCGGCCACTGGTGGCCAGCTGGCGGATGAGAGGGAGGTGGTGGCAGAGGGCCTGGGTGTCAGGGACGAGGTAGGGAGACATTGCTGACTGGGCCTTGGGCTGCTGCAGGCTCCCTTCCAGCTGGGAGACCTCGAGCTGGTGAGAGAAGGCAGAGTGGTAGAGCTGTGTGGGGCCGCAGCCTGAGTAGGGGAAGAATCGTACTCGAGGTGGCACTTATGGGGCTCCTCCTGCTGCCAAGGGGAGCAGGGGGCCCCTTCTACAAACGGCCTCGCAGGAAAAGTACACAGAAACAAGGGTATGGTAGAGAAAGAGAAGGAAGAGAAAGAACCGAAGGCAGAAAGAGAGCATGAAGGCTCAGCAACAAGTCAGCACCGAGAGGGCAAGGTGGAGGGCCATAGTGGACAGAGCGAGGGCTGCAGCTGGAGGGGTGAGGATGTGCCAGGGCCTTTAGGCAATAACCAGATCAAGAGCAGAAGGAGCGCTGGCTCCAGACTTCCTACCTGAAGTCGTAGCTGGGCCATGTCTCTCATCAGCCTGTTCCGCCGAGCTTCCTCCTGTGCCTGCGAGGGGAAACCAGGTGCTAAGCTCGGGACGAGGAGCTGGGGGAATATTCCTTTCTCCAGAAGGAATCAAGAAGACCAAGAGGGATTCCTGGGGTCTGAAATAGGTACAGCTTCATATAAAGTCAGCCCTCTACCACTCCTGCTAAGTGAGGAGAAAGGAGGCATGGGTGCCATCTAAATACGTTCCATTAGCAGAAGTGACAGCACCTGGCTGTGCCTCAGGGCTCCATCTTTGCTCTTCTCAATCCGTCCTCCTTCCCAGGGGATACCATCCATGCACCCCCTCGCCTTCTATCACCATCTACCTGCCAACTTCTTTCAAAACCTACAGCTTCAGCCCAGACCTGACCCCTTGAATTCCAGACCTACATACCCAACTGCCTATTTGACAGCCCCATCTGCTCCTCAAAACTGGCTTCTCGTCCTCTGTTGTTCCCCAACTTGCTATATAAACCACCATCTGCCCAAGTCAGAAAGCTAGTTGGCTTTGACTTTTCCCTCTCTCTCAGCCCCAGAAGCTATCAGCCTCTCAGTCCTGTCAGTTGTAGTTCCTCAAGAAAATCACTCAAATCCCTCCCACCTTGACTATTATAACCACCTTCTGACTGGCCT